CAAGCGAACAAAAAAATTGGTCAACTTGGGACGGGTTAGTTTAAACCTTGTATTTGAACTCTTCCCAACTAGGACTGCAACTTGGTAGGTGTTAGCTCGAAAGTCGAAAACCCGAACAAAAGGTTGGGTTTTTTTTGTTTTTGTGTGTGTGTGTGTTTTTTGAAATGTATGAACCCAACTTAACTTCAGGTTGGGTTAGGGTTGAGGCCGTTACAAACCCAACCTAACTTCATGTTTGTATGTATAAGTGTTATATAAGCATGTACTTATATTATGTATTTATGCATTTGCAAACGCAAGGTATAGAAAATATTGTATACAAGGTTGAGAATTGTGCGAATACAAATATATTCTATATTTACATTTCTAAATAGGGGTGTCAATTGGGCTGGATTTGGTCCAATTCTATCTATTCCAGTATGAGTCCATTACAAATGGACCTGGTCCAATCCAGTCCAATGTATATTTTGGACCATTTTGGACTGGTCTAGTTCAATCTCTGGACCGTCCTCCAATCTATTCAAATTCATGTTACTTTAGATTGGTTCGAACTCAAACATGGTCCATTGACACTTGTGTTCTTATCTTCTATCACTGGATCAGATATTGGCTCAATCCAATATAAATTCATTACGGATGGACCAAGTCCAATCTAATGTTTTATTGGTCTGTCCAAATTGACACCCCTATTTCTAAATATGGTATTTGTATTCATCCCAAATAGAGCCTAATAACATATTTTCACTTTTGAGGACTCAAGATTATCCTCTCAAGAAACCTAAAGAAACATCTTTTGCAAAAGCATGCTTTACCAAGTGGGTTTGGAACCAAGGTTCAAAGTATCGAGGGCATACTAGCCTATATCAGTACTCTTTTTTTTTGTTTTATTTTTTTTAATCTGATTTAGAGAGGCCGGTTTAAGGCCAATCTACCCCCTGAACCACTTGCCGACCTGAAACACCCCTTGTAGGGGCGTATCGGGAAGGCTCCGATACGATACGTATCAATACTTTGAACCTTGTTTGGAACCAATACCATTTTAGAAAATGACACCACATCAACATCACGTTTGAAATATGTTTTCTGAATAAACACTCACTATTTGGTTGGGCGTTTTCCCAAAAAATGTTTTTTTAGACCATGCATTGAGAAATCAGGAAATGCTAGAAAACACTCTTTTGAATGTTTTCTTGTTTTTTCTATTGTTGCTAGCAAYATTATGCTGATGTAGCATTGAAAAACACCTACGTGGTAGTAATGGTCATAAACAAACAAAAAAATGCTGTTTTTCAAGAAAATGACATACCTATGCCACACCATTTTTTCTCGGAATGCAGCATTGGAGAAACAACACTGATTTCAAATACCACCCAATACAATTCAATGACATGTTCATTTTTTGAGTAAAATATAAAAAACCTCCCTTGAAAAACTTGCAGTTCCCTCCTTTTGTTATTGTCTTGGATATAAAATGTTGGCCAAATGTATTAGTTTTTCAAAAGTACCCATTTTACCTTTATATCTATCAATTCAGATGGAAATTTATTAAAATACCCCCTAAAAGAATTTTTTGCTTTTTAATTATAAATTCCTTGAATTAGATTGAAAAGAATAAAATAATTTTACTATAAAAACATTAGGTCTAGTGAAGTATAGAAGGACACATTTGGCATTTTAAATTATATTGAAAGATGTCCTAATAAGTTATAGGGGTAGTTTTGTAAATTTGAAGTCTCCATTGCTGGAACAAAGATAGAAGGTACTTGTAAGTTTTTGTGAAAATACGATGGTGTTTGGAAGCATGGACGTTTATTGGGACCGATTTTCAAGAAAAAACGCCCATGCTTCCAAGACCTATTTTTTACAAATAAATGCTTTAATTTTGTTTGGAAGTGTTTCTGCCACGTAGATAATGAGCACTACTATGCTATTTGGTAAGGTAATTTTCATCACTGTTTTTCATGTATTTGCTGATAGGTAAGCACCACATAAGATATACGTAATCGCCAATCAATAAATCGTTGGGAGAAACGGTTCACGGATGCATGAAATGCCAAATTTGACGTTTCATGCATCAGTTGGGTCCCGATTTATGAGGCATGTCTGATTTTTCAATAAATGCCTGAACCAAACAATGAAATATATGGGTGTTTGTTGAAACACCTATGTGGATTCGACATGACACCATTTTTTTGAAAAAACAGCCACAGTTCCAAATATTCCCTACATAGAACGTTTTCATTAAAATGAAACCTGATTATAATTGTCAGAAACTTCACAGGATATTACCAAAAAAAAAATTATGGGAGGTTTTTATATTTTACCCAAATTTCTAACGTGACAAGGTGATGCTCATGAAATGATGAAATGCATCAAGCCATGCATCAACGCAAACAGGACCCTAGGTAAGGAGGTGAAGGCGATCCGCTTTCCTTGATTTCATTTGTGGGTCCCATTCTCTATGATTCATGAATCTTAATGGTAGAGTATAGCCGTAAAGACTTTATTTGGTTTGAAGGAAAAAATAATAAAAGGAAGGGAAAAGTAACGATGGGATAGGATGGGATGAGAAAATAAAAATTTACCTTTCTATTGTTTGGTTTTATGTATGAACAAATTAATAGGAAAACATTGTTACGAGGGAAAGGGAAAAGAGAGAAGAAGGTGAAGAGAAGAGAAGAAGAAGAAAATGGAGMGAGAAACAGAGAAATTCATTGGAAGATGTCCTTTGGCACAGATAGTCCCCCCTTCCTCCGCCAGTGCTTAATCGACCACCGCAGTGGTCCCCCTTCTTCGCACTTTTATATATATATATATATATATTTCTAGCATACGAACATAACAAATTCAAAGTTGCAGTTGGTCCCGGAAATCAAAATCTTCATCCTAAAGAGTTCACCACAAGCAACTCTCTAATTTTTTAAATGAGCAAATCTATCAAAAATTAGAAGAAGGTTGCAGAGTTTCACATCCATAGAATTTGCACCATCTGCGCCTTCCAAACACAATCTACACTAAGCAACGAGAGTTCTTGCAGTGGTTGATTCGTATTTCCAGACGGGAGGAAGCTTCTTTGTCCTCTTGTAGTAGCGAGCGAGTCGGTGGATCCTGCTCTCGACCAAAATCAATCTGAACTTGGAATCCTTGTCCTTCCTGTTCTTTCAAGATGCTTTCAGATTGCAACAGCCTTCTTAATGAGGTGGTACAGATCCTCAGGAATTTCAGGAGCAAGCCCATGAGCCTTAAGGATACGCAAGATCTTGTTACCCGTTACGCTCTTGACCTGAGCAATACCGTGAAAATCATGAAGAATAACACCAATCTGAGACGGCGTCAAACCCTTCTTTGCGAATTTACAGATGTTCTCCTCAACATCTTGAGAAGAGATCTTCAACCAAAAAGGTGGAGTCCTCTTGTATGGCAAAGCTGACGTGGAGATACCCTTACCTCGACTGTGCATATGACCCGTGGTGATAGCTAGCGAACTCTCTCTCTTTTCTCTCCCTCCCTCTCTCACTCAGTTCCTGTGGGACGAGCCAAAAACTGTGGGGTGATCGGAGACGAATAGCCGCTATGGGGTGCTCTGTTTTACCAAGAAGAAGACGAATATTAATTCGTCAGCGGAAAGCGAAGATGTAACAGTGCTGTGAAGACGATGAAATGGTCACCACCGCAGGTATTTTCTGTGTTCGTTGTGGAGAAGACTGATGAATAGTACTGCGAAAAACAAAATACGGAAGAAGAAAGAAAAGAAGAGAGGAGAGAGGAATAAGGGAGTGGCTGAGAGGGGGTGCCGCCGCCGCCGCTCTTCTTCTGGGTTCGAACGGGGAAGGAAAAGTAATAGTAGTTTCTCAGATTTTCTACCCGGGTTGCACTGTTTTGGTGCAATCCAGATTCCACGATTTTGGGATTTGTTTTCTCATATTTTTTCATTCCATCCCTCTGTATAGGTTTTTCATCCCCATTCCACAAATCAAACAAAGCTTCAAACCGAATATAGCCAAAATTTCCCAAAAAGCTTTAATTAACCATTAATCGATTTCTTCAAGCCTCACAAATCAAACAAAACCTTACAAATCTTGTATAAGTTTCCTACTTTTTCTTTCAAATCAAATATAATCAAAATTTCCCAAAAAGCTTTGATTAACCATTAATCGATTTCTTGGCGCCCCACGTGCACATGTCATCGTGCATTCGAAACATTTCCTTGCTTGTCATCGGGATGTTCTAAATACACGGTTGAAATGTACGAGCGCGCATGTGAATTTCCGTTAAATAGGGTATCTCCTGCCACGTGAATAATTGACGTGTTTTAGCGACGCTACAGCTTTCGAGAAGTTCTTAACTGTACATTCACGATTCCTTTTAGCCACGTGGCATACTGATTCGGGTTCTTCCGTAACACTTCACTTCACTTGAACCATTTGCACCCGCCAAATCAGCTGTCACCAACTCCAGCACACGGCGGGGATTTGATGTGAGGGCGTCATGGGGCGGAGATGTGAGCTCCTCCAATTGATGTGAACTCTTTACAGTCAAACCACTCAACCACTTGCGTTGCGTTCACACACGAAGCTTCTCGTTTTCTCGCGAGAAAAAGTCAAAAAACCATTTAAATCGAAAATAGAGTCACATTAATAAATTACCTTGTGGAATAAATAAAAAGGGAGCAGGTGGGATAGAGATGGCAGATTAATAAAGCAAGGTAAACCGCCCTTATGAATAACCAACCGTAGAACTTCATACCATTTGCCTTCGACCAATACCCGGTTTACATCTAACGCATCTTGAAAGTATACGTGTCGAAAGGAAAGAATATGTATGTAGACGTGGACCAATAGCGTCTTACGAACAGATCGTATCCTGTACCCGCTTCGGAACCACGAATTTTGATATGCAATTTTTTCCAGTTGCTTGCTGCCGCCATTGTTTTGATCTCATTCGCCACGTGTCTTCCTCGCACGACAACCCTCTATTTGTTATCTTTTAAAATGAAAATAGAAAAAAAAAACTTCATTCGAGGCGACTAAAGAACCTGGAAAAACACCAATCTCCGGCGACTTCTAATTAGGGCAAGAGTTCTTGTTTTCCGGCGGTCCTCAGACTGTTCTATAACTCCGAAAGTAGTTTTCTGACAGCTGGTTTTGTAGTTTCTGGTAAATTTTAGACCGAATGTTATAAGTTTGGAGCTTTAAGGACTTTTCTCTATGAGCTATTATGTTTGTTAATTTAGAGAAGATTTTGGTTGTTTGGAGCTTCTTCTATTCATCTTTTCGGGGTGCTTCAGTTAGGGTTTGGTGATTGAGGAAGGTTCCCCCCTCTTTTGGTTTCTTCAATTCGACAATTGAAGATAATACAAAGATTTTTTTTTTTCCTTTTTAATCTTCTGTAAACATGAGATCAGATCAAAGAGTTGTGCAAATCCTTAGTTCTGGATAGAGCATCTGGGAGGAATGTCAGACTGGACTTCGTACGAGGTAAGGGAGTTTTGTATTTATTTGTATTTATTTATTTTTAGTTTTTCTCTGTATTATTTTGTAGATCTAATCTTTTAAACATGCCGTGCACTTGTTATTCTGGTTGTCATATTCATCCACAGATATCAGTCTAGTTCTTATGATTTTTGGAAGGAGTAAAATGGAAGAAATTCATGTGTTCTCTGGTTCTTATGGTTAGCACAACTTCTTTATATGTAGAACTTGTAAATTACATGCCCAAAATATGAAAAGGAAAGAAAATGAGAGAAAAAAAAAGATGAGGCTGGTAGCATTGAAATTCTCTATTAGTGGTCGTTAAATTTCCAGCTGGTCGTCTGCAAATTTATTACCATTTTCTTTAGGTAGCAAAACTTTATCTCTCGGCTGAATTGCCAACTTGCTACCTTGCTAGATAAGTATTCAGATTATTCAATCACTTGATGAATTTTCTCAAACTCTTGAAATATGCAGTTTCTGTTTTTTGTACTTGTCAAACCTCTTGTATCTTTATGAGATATATCAAAATGTCAATGAGAAATTGTAAATATCTTAATTGACATATTTTCTGATAGTAAATAAAAATTAAATTCATTAAAAGAAAAGGAAGGGATACGAGATAGGTGATATGGAATCATCAAGAACAATGAAATAAAAGCTCTCTAAGCCCTAGCCTACAAACTAACACTCAGAGGTACATCCCCCAATACAAAATTCAAGAACCAAAATTATAACTCCGCTAGTCACTTCCTGAGATAACAGCCAGCACTCAATTCCAAACCATAACGCCTTAATCGGCATATATAGGGCGTGCTTTTATTTATATATTACAATTTTGTAATGAAGCGAACGGTTAAACAATTAGACAAAAAAAGAAAAAAAGAAAAACCTATTGGGAGTGATACTGAAAGAAGATAACATATCATGGATTGAGATGAGCTGAGGCTAAAACAAAATGGAAATCAAGGGGAACTTTTAGCTGAGACTAAAACAAAATGGAAATCAAGGGGAACTTTTTTTTCTTTTTTTTTTGCGGGGGGAGCATGAAATACTTTATTAGAGGTTAAGTAGTAATGCCTTCATTGTCATCACATCACAACATATGAAGGCCTAGACAAAACATGCACAGCTTCACCAGTAGAGATGCCATTGTATTGGGTTTGACATAGGTCTGGCACAACCTGAACCCGATCTGACTCATGAACAGCACCACAGTTATTTGCAGTGGCTATATTTAGAGTTTTCCAATGTCACTGTGTCAACGGGGTTGGGTTTGGTGCAGGTTGACCTCAAACCAAACCTGATTAAGGTCAAGACAGGTTTATTGCTTAACCCAACCCACATCCCTATTCACCAAGAAAGGACCTGATCCATTTTATTTTGTGTATGTGCTTGTAAGGCTGCAATATTTAGATTCTGTATTGGAGTTAGAAATTGTGACCTGCTTGTAAAGGCTTCAGGAAATGAGATAGTAGAAAGATACATTATCCAGCAGGGGATTGACCTGCTCAGCATCCAAATAAGCATGGAAATGAAGATGAAAGGGCCATCAAATTAGAAAGGTCTTGAAAATATGGTGTATATGAAATATCGTAGGGTGAACTTGATAGCAGTCAACTGAGCAGATGGGGCTTATGCATGAACTCCAACACTTTGTTGAAACTAAAGGGAATGTTAGTTGTATGGTTAAGTATTGAGAACATCCACAATGCTGTGATATTCACTAGAATGAGAAAAAAATGTCCTGAGTAATAGGAATGTTGAAAACCATAAAAAATGGTTCGCTAGAGTTTGGTCCACTGAAGCAGATCGTTAAGTAATTTTCTTTGAGATGGATTAACAATGAATAAATGAAACAAATTTACCTTTAGATAGTAGGTAAACTAGAGCCTACTTTAGAATTGTCTGGTTTGGTAGTGGAAGTGATTGAAGTATTGACATGATACTCCTAATATGGGGCATATCGTATCCGTATCAATGACCACAGATATAGGATATGCCACAACTGGGTTTATATCGCACAAGTCATGTGTATCGGTATGATACACCTTCGTATCGGGTTGTATCACACCATATCGGTGGATACGGTCTGGTATGCATTGATACAGAAGCATATCGGTGCCTGGTTTCATGACTTTGTATATTGACCGCTTTTGGACTGTTTTTAGACTTTAGTAAAAATTGAAAATTATAATTATAAAAAGTGAAATATAGTTATAATTATAAAAACTGAAATAAATAATCTAAGATTCAATTTTCCTCAAAAAATTAATAAAACAAAAAATGATAAAAATAATTTATTTTATCTACCTTAAATGATTTATGTGTTCATATGTTTTATTTTACTTGTAAATTATATGTTCAAAATGAAAATATATTATTTGAAAAATAGAGTTTATTTACGTAAGAATACTAAATATATAAAATTTCCCAAAAAATCAATAGAAATTGAAAATTATAATTATAATAACTGAAATAAATAATTCAAGATTTAATTTTTCCCAAAAATTTCCCAAAATTTAATGAAAATTGAAAATAAAAAATAATTTATTTTGTTTACCTTATTTATAAAAAAATATTCTGTCTATCTTAAATTATTTATATGATTTATTTACAATTATATGTAAAATAAAAAGTTACATGTTAAAAATGAGAACATATTTATTATTGGAAAAAATAGAGCTATTATTTATATACAAATACTAAATAAATAAAATTTCCCATAAAGTTAACAATAATTGAAAATTATAATTATGAAAACTGAAATAGATTGATAATTATTGTATGATGTGTACATGTTCTAGAATCCTGGTATTGTTGATTGTAATGTTTCCCTTCGTATAACCTATTAAAGTGTGCATTTCTCATGTGCTTATATTGTATTCATAGATAACTCAGCTTTATATTTAGCTTTATTAACATATTTATGTGATTTGTATGCATTTCCCTAGTGTATCCAAGCATTTTCATATCTTTCGTCCGTATCCATGCGTTTCCAAAGTGTATTTGTATGCATATCCATATCCAAACTTTCCAATATGATACCCAATACCAATACTTTGATCCTATGGAAGTATTCTATTGTAATTTGGATCAAACTGTTAATATGTCTACAAAAGATGGCTGGTTATTGAACATTCACCTTGTACCTTGAGGTATCACTAAAAAGAAAGCGGCCAAGAACTTATATAAAAAGGAAGTAACATTAAAAACATCAGAGGAAAACTCAGAGAGGATGAAAATAGTACGTGTTTCAGAATCTTAAGGATGAAAAACATATAGATCTCAACCATATGTTGGAGAGGATTACTTTTGGTTTGTTTGATGTAGAAACAGGAGATTAAGAGACTTAATCTTCTCATTGGACTAGTCAAATTGATGACAATGATTGTACAGTTGAAGCATTAAACCATGATTTGTTATTTTTACATGATACATTTCTCTAGCAGCATGTGACCATTTATTAAGAAGCATGACCTTGCTGATAGATTATATAAGTGCAACCCATCATTATCCTCTTCCAGATTTTATGTGAATTGAGGTAGTCTTTGTTGAAGAACTTCAATTGAGAGACTATCTAATGACAGAAGTTCCTTGCTAACACGGCCAACCCTTATTTTAATTGCAACAATTGGAATAGAAATCCTTGGGGGAAGATACTCAAGTCAAGGTGATGGTTTTGACTGGTTATTGGGGTTTTTTTCCTAAGAGGAGAAGAATCTGCTAGGAGAACCTTCAAAGTGCTGGAGGAGAAATATAGAATGCCTACAAAAAAGTGTTCAAAGGAGAAATAATCTGGATAATGAAGCAGAGGGAACTAGCCTCAGGGTAAAGGATGTTCAAGGAAGATTGGAAGCGTTTGGTGTGGCAGGGGATGACGATAAAAAGGAAGGTGAGGTGGTCACAGAGCAGGCTTTTGGGAAAATTCGGTGTTAGAGTTTGAAAGGATCAATGATATTCAATTGGATTCGTGGGTAACTGTGGAGGCACAAATGCGATGAGATGGCTTAGAAGAAACAGAAGCCCTCATACAATTCCGGTTTCAAAATTTTTTTTCCTGACTGAATGAATGGGTGGTGTTTGGTGTTAAGCCTTGTAAGAAGGTGAAAAAGGTAATGAAGGTTTGTAAGAAGAGCAAAGGACTTCATGTTCAAGTCACTGAAGAAGCCGAGTAATTGAGCAAGATTGTGAGGTTTAAGTTGGAATTTTAGTCTCTTTGTCGTTTGGCATTGGGGGGCTTGATGTAGGTTTTTGAAGCTTTGTGATGTTGGTAGGGATGGGAGGGCAGAATCTTAATGCGTTCAGGTTTGTTAGGGTCAATTGGGTTGTTAGTTTCTTTTCAAATTTGGGTGTGATCTCTTGGATTTAGAGTTTTAGCATGTAGTGGGTGAAAGTATATTTCCTCTTCTCTTGGGTGACTTCTTGTCACCTTTCTTGTACATTCTTTTTTGTTTTAATAAATATTTTATTGTGAAAAAAAATTGTGACTGGTTATACATCCTGAGTAGGAGTTTTGACTGTGGTGATTGTGCCAATACAAACTGTGGATGGATTTTGACAAAGCTAATTTTACGTTGATCCCTATGTGTGATTGAAGAAGAAAATGAATTGTCTCAATATGATCCATCTGAGATGATTGAGGATGTTTTGGATAACAATGAGGATAAGGAGGTTAGAGGGTGAAAAATATTAAATATGGAGTTTAATTGATCAGCTCTAGCGGGAGTTGATGAGAGCTGAGCGATCTCTTCCTACCCTAAACTTTGTGGACCTCAGGATTTCATGCATATGACCTCAACTTTCCATCTTTAATTTTATTTACTTTGTTTTTCTTCCTTTATCATGATTTATCAATATTTGTTTTTGTTTCATGTTCATTTCTGGTACTTCAGATATTTTTATTCTTTCATTATGATATGCTAATTTTATGTTGAATGTACAATTCTGATCATCTAAATCCTCTAACTGGTTTTACAGCTTGACGATATTGTTTGGGATGATTGTGCACCTGAAATTGATCGCCACAAGAAGCCACGCCTTGAGACAGTATGTACTTTTACAAAGAACACAAAAAGCAAATATATTGCCGATGATGGTATTTTAGAAAAACTGGAAACAATATCTCCAACTCTAAAGCAAGGAAAGCATTCAATGTTGGAAAAGGGTTCGTGGTCTTGCACACCTGATGGTGTGTTTTCTGCTTCATGTGATACTGACTCCATTAAAGAAGTAGCAACTTTAACTTCTGATAACACTGAGATACCCAATAGTTGCTTCAATAATTGCAATGTAGATTCAATTGGCAACGAGTTCTCTGCAGATGACGCAATGCTTGATAGTAGAAGTTCTGGAATGGATAACAGTTTGTGCCACTTCCCACTTCATGATATTTCTTCAGCAGGGAGTGACCTTGAATTTTTTAGTAATGAGCAAGAGGACAGGGAGAATGGTGACCTTTTGTATTATGGATGGCCTGATATTGGCAATTTTGAGGATGTTGTTCGTATGTTTAGGTAACTTCAAAGAACTTGTCTTTTGTTTTCCAAGCTAAACTTATGTTTACCAGGTTTATATTTTTTCATATTTGTTTTTCCAGGACTCAAATTTCTTATGTACCTTGGAATTACTTCAATCACTAGGAACATGCTCGCCTAGTATCAAAGCTATAAATTTGCTCTAACCCCCAAACCCCCTCCCTGCTTCAAAGTACAAACAAATAAATGACATTATGCCCTTCAAGCATAAAAGCATTAACAAAAATGTATAAATGTGGATCATTCTTGGGCCTAGCCTACATATGTGAATTTTGCTGTGTAATTTCAAACCTTTGTGCATGCATTGCTTTCACATTCTTTGGCAGGTTTAATAAATTAATCTTCTTTTGGTTCATCATCATCATCATCTAAGCCTTATCCCAACTATATGGGGTTGGCTACATGAATTATGTTTTGCAGTTTTGTTTTGTTTAGTTCCATATTCATTGTAAATTAATCTTCTTTTGGTTTCTGATGAAAAAAAGGTAAATCCTGATTTGTAGTGCCTATTCCCATTCTTGACTTTGACATGCAGAAGCTGTGATTCCACATTCGGGCAAGGGAATGCTAGTAATGATGATGAAATGTCATGGTTTTCATCCTCTTCTCGTGCCATTGATGGCCCTGAAGACCCTCTCAAGAAGTCAGGCTTCAAATCTTCATGTTCAGAGTCAAGTGAACTGAGAAGTACATCAAAGCATCGGCAACCTGATATGAAAATTTCACCTGACACAGTTAGTCCTTTGGTTACTGATTCTGATAATTCCGATATTTGTAGAACAAGTTCTCAGGCAATGGATGCTGTAGAGGCTGTTACTTTGGAAGATTCCTCTTATACTGATTGGTTGGACACAGATACTGAGAATAGGGACGAAACCTTATCCAAGAGAGAGGTCAGTAAGAAAAAAATTAAATAGCATGTTATCTCATGGTTGAATCACTTCAATGTCATAATCATTTATTTATCTGACACGATTAACCATTTTGTTTCACTTACATTTCTCTTTAAAGAGAACTGGTGTTGGTGAATTGCTTTACATTTGCAGGGGAATGAGATTATTGGAGGAATTGAGGTTAAAATTTCATCTTCCACCCAAGCTAAGAATGAAACTGGTGTGACGGTATGTTACAAAACTGACATGGGAAAATTCTTGAAACATATTTCCTTAACAGTTTTGTAACCATCTCTATTAGTTTTTGTTTTCTTTTGATAACTAACAGATCAAAGAAATTTTATCAAGTTGTAAAAGAAAGCATATCAATAAATAGAGCATCTTAACTCTCCCATAAGGAGATACACCCGAGTACATAAATGGCCATTTTGCCAACACTGGATCAGTAGACATTGAATATAGCTCTACCCTATTTTCTCCTTTTCTAGCTTGTTCATCAAAGTATTAATAATTCTTTTGGTCCATCTGATTGAAGTGTCCAGTATTAGCTACAAATCTTGCCTCCTTGAGAACTGTATGAAAACTTATGGGGCATGGGGCCTTTCTTTGTTCATCTACCCTATTACCCACCACCTGTGGCTTGCCTTCCTCCTCCTACAGCCTTGCAGGTTTCAGATAAAAGCGCAACTGTAGTCCTTCAAGAACAGATGGCGGCTCTTCCTGATAAGAATTTCTCTTCTATGGGACCAAAGTGCATTAATACCATCTTTGAATCATGATTTCTGAATGTCCCCCCCCAAGTCCATCTTTTGTCCTTATGCAATGAACAAACCTTAATGGGATAAAATCAATCAAAGCCTCTTTTGCCTTTGCTTTGTATATAGGCTAACTAACTAATGAGAAATAGTGGAAGTGCTTTTGAGTCGATCCGTCCTTTCTTATTTATACTTGTGTTTAAAAGGAACGAAACTATTATCATGCCCCTCTTTACATAAAACAAATAAAACTAAACTATTCCTACACTCCCCCTCAAGTGGAGCATAGATGTCAATTATGCTCAACGTATCTAGTCAAAGTTAAGTTTCTTCTTTATTAAACCCTTAGGGCCTGTTTGTTTCCTCTTAGCTCTTAACTCTAAAGTGGAATTGTACCACTTTTAGAGAGAGAAAAAGAGGGGGTGTTTGGTTGCCACTTCTTCTTTAGCCTTAATGTATCGGATGATATCAAACTTTCTATATATATATATATGTATGTATGTATGTGTGTGTGTGTGTGTGTGTTCGTGTTGTTTTTTAAGTAATACTTAACTATTTATTAAATGCTAAAATATTTAATTAATTTTAAATAATTGATTATTAATAATTATTATTTTATTAATATTTAATTTTAATTTCCAATTCTAATTATTTGATTTTAATAATTAATTTTATTATATTATTACATAATTGATTCTTAATAAATAGTTATTACTAATTTCTATTATAAATAATGTAGTGTAATTAAATAATTATTTAATAAATAAACATTTTTATGAATAATTAATAAATATTATTATTTGTTAGATACTATTAATTATTTAATAATTCATCATTGATCTATTTATTTTTATTAATTATTTATTAAGTTCTAGTTATATATATTTATTAAAACATTATTTAATTATTTATTTTTTGATCAATTAATTAATTTAATCTTTTTATATTCATTAATTAATTTTTAATTATTTTATTAAATAGTTAAAGAAACTTTCTCATATCTAGGGTTAAAGCAGTCAATTACTATTTTTCAAAACATAACATTCAGATTTCGGAACAACATTCTCTACATTTAGATATTGGAACCAAGAAAAGTTCTCCAACTCCAATGCACCTCTTAAAGTAATTTTTATAGTTTTAGATATTAAACACCAGAGGAAACAAATGAGCTCTTTGTAAAAAATTTAACAAGTTGGTTACAGTCTTGACATTTGGAATTCATGTTAATCTTCTCCCTTAACAAAATGCCTATCAGCTTTCTCATGCTTGGTTTGACCATGTTGCACAGGATGGTGGGCTATGTTAATGCTTACTTTATTATCAGAATACAATTTCATGGGATCCTTAGATTCAATATGAAGCTCCTTCAAAATTATTCTTAGCCATAATTTGATATTCCATTAGCCATGGACCGGATTCTACTTTTGCACTAGATCGAGTCACCACATTTTGCTTTTTGCTCCTCTAAGTAACCAAATTGCCTCCAAGTAGGGTGCAATATCCTTAAGTAGACCTTTCGTCATCAATTGGCCTGGCCCTATTTGCATTAGTGTACACATCTAGCTGTAGATGCCCATTATCATATAATAAGAGTCCCCTTCCACAAGAGGCCTTCAAATATCTGAGAATCATCTCAGCTGCTTCAAGATGGGGAACCTGAGGAGTATGCATATATTGACATTATTCCAATTGCATAGGCAATAGTTGGTCTTGTCAAGGACAAGTAAAGAAGTCTTCCCAACCAATCTTTTTGTTTTTTAAACTTTTTTGATTGTTCATCTTCCCATCAATCTTTTTGAAACATGTCTTTATACTTAAGTGATAGGTGCGTGCCTCACCTTGTGCCTTGCTTCAAAAAGTTCTCCAACCTCTATTTGTTAATGTTGCTCATTCATTCATCCTAATAAAATATCTTCTTAAAAAGCAATTAGAATTATAAAATTATTATTTTTTGTGTGAAAACTAAGAACTTAAGACCCTAATATGGACTTGTTTGGGCTTGCCTTGAGGGGCGTGGCACAAAGGCGGGTCGTAGAATCAGGAATGTAATATGTTTTACATCACATTAGCTACTTAAAGTAATGCAATTGAGGAAAAAAAGAGATTGTGAGTTTTACTTGCTTGAAAATGTTTTATATGTTTGATTTTATTTTAAATTCTAATTTGAATACGCTTTACATGTTATGTTTATCTATTTTAATTTTAGATAAAGGATTTTTTATAACATCTATTTTAAAATTTAAGTTTATATTTTTTATTAATATTATGTTTAATAATTTTTCTTTCTCTTTGTTTGACATTTTTTTTGATTTTTTTTTGTATTTTTGCACCTTGCTTTAAAAAGATGTGCGCCTCACCTTGCGCCTTGCGACTGAGGCGCAAATTGGCCCCTGCACCTTTTTTGCGCCTTGCGCTTTTAAAACATTGGGGTTGATAGGTGTATCTATCATCTTAGCACCCATTTCCCTATTTCTTCTGGAAGATTAAGAATATTCTTCCTTTGAGACACAAATATTCCCCTCTTGGACCTTGGCACCTCAATGGCCAAGAAATATTTAAGATCTCCCAAATCTTTTATCTCAAATTTAGAGGCTAGAAAAGTYTTCAATTTCTCAATCTCAACCTAATGGTCACTAGTAACAACTATGTCATCAATATATATACTAAAAGTAGGACAAACCATTCTCAAGGTTAACAAACAAAGTATGTATTCCTGCTTTGAGTGTACACAAATTTCTTGATAGTGGTACTAAACCGGTCAAATCAAGCTCTTACAGATTGTTTCAGTCCATAAATAGACTTCTTCAACCTATAAACCTCCCTTGAAGGTATCACAACACTAGGAGGAGGAAGCATGCATACATACTTTTTTACATCTAACTAATGCAAAGGCTATGATTTATAGGTTAGAATGCTCTCCCAAATTAGTTTATAGGAATATGTATCTGTCGACCTTTCTAAGAAAGTCCTGAGCGATTTTCAATCAGTTTCTAACAAATTCTGATTTAGAAAACAAGGCTCCAAGAACACTCGTTTCAAATAATTCGTAAAAACAACCCTTCACAACCATGCTGACAGGGGCAGTAAAATAGGAAAATGAAAAATTTAGATAAAATTCATTCTTCCACCAAAAAATTTAAAACCAGTTCCAGCAACTATAGATATATGCTAAGGACCAAACACTATCAGTCCCAATCACCAAACTTAGCCCTGTTGCTTGCCACGATCAGAAAACCCTAATATACTATTTTCCAATTTTTAGAAAAAAAATATGGGATTTGGCAGTCCTGCTCATTAGGAACAGGACTCCTCCAAGGAGATTGAGAAATTCAATTACATCTTGATCTTCCTATTTCTCAGTTGTCCCCTGAAACCAAAATTCTAAGACTTACCTGCCAAAGGTGTTTCTCAGTCCTCACGATCAGTTGTCATTAAATAATCAATTCACATGCACTAAAAAACAAAGACTTTTCATTTTAGTCAACAGAAACTTTAAATGCAGATGCCTGGAAACTATACCAATGGAAATCATAAAATTTTGGCCTGTTATAAATTGATAGAAACACTTAGTCACGGCACTAGCTTTACATCAGATATGACCTTGTAAATTGTTTTAAAATTGGAGGATCTTTTTCTATTTAATCCAATCTGATGTTGGATAATTATCAAAAGATTATGATTTTAGACTCTATAATAAGGTCACTTGTTTCATACTTACATATTATCATGTGACAGATCACTTTGCAAAGAAAGCAGTCAAATTACCAGAACCAATTTAAAAATGTAAAACCTCCATCTGCTGTGTCCTCAACCAGAGAAACTTCTCATTCTCCAGACATTCTACAATCAAAGCAAAATATGGGACCTGATTATATGAATTATTTGCATGATCGTATTTCTTATGTGCACTCAGAGTCCAATAATCTTTCCTGTGAATCACTTCAGGTTGCCATCACACCAACAACAACCAGTATTAAATCAGAGAACCAAAATGATCCTTCTCTGTCTTCAAAGGTTTCTTCTTATGCATCAGATCATGTCCAGCCCATGGAAAGGTCTACTGATTCTTCACCAAAGGGTCCATCTATGACATCAGAGGAAAAGATGGAAAAACTTCTTCAGCAGCAAGTAAAAGCCACATTAAATGATCAAGTTCATGTCCCAAAATACATGCATCAGATTCAAAATGAAGTTGGAGGTGATAGTGAAGTTGAAGGAGTAAGTAAAGAACATCCACCAGATGCAGATTCATCAACTGTACAACAAAGTTCTTGTATGAGCTCTGCATTGCCAAATGAAATATCTGTAGATGCAACTAGTTTTCGACAGCTTCAATATGTCATGGAACAGGTATAAAGGTTTCCTACATGCATGGATATGTGGTTATGTTCTCATATATGTGCATGGCCATGAATGGTTTTCTATATGCGTGGGAAAGCAAAAAAAGCTAAAATACCTGTGACCTGATGATGCTCCAGTTATCTGGTCGGTCTTGGGAGGGGATATACTGATATCTGGTGGGTCTTTGCACATAGTGATCGTTCTCAGACTTGAACCCACATTCTCATGCTTTTCAGCCTGACATTTGCATATTAAGCCCCAAAACTAGATGTGTTGCACTGTTGCACCGTAGAAGGTGCCTACACTAAAAATCAGCAGAATCAAATGACATTTAATCATCTGATTTATATGTTATCCTAGGGTCTTTTTAGAAGACTTGAAATTGTTCTCCTACCAAATGTAAGCAGTAAAAATGTATCCTTTCAAATACATACGAAGCTGATTTTCCTGGTCAGACTTTCAGAGGGCTTTTTTAATGGTTGATCCAATCTTGTGGATGTAGGATTTGTCTCAAGTTAGGGGGCCCCAAACTGTTCTATGGGCTCTGTAGACAGTTCCAATTCTCAACAGTTCTACTCGTAATGCTGCACCAACCATAATACAACATTATCAACTCTGTATATATGGGTCTCWCATGCTAGACATGATTGGCTCAGTATTTTCCACCTCTCATAAAGGATTCAAACTTCTGTAGATCTCTATACAACTATCTGCTATATGATGGGAACAGTTCTATACATGGTGTGAATAAAATTGGAAGGAATTAACCTAGTTAGGACTCTGTTGAATACTGATAATTTGTTGTTTAATTTACATTTTCCTTATGAAGAGGTTGCAAGCATGGGGCGTATCTGCATATTACCTTTCCTAACTCCCAATTACTTGTTCTGCATTCCTTTATGGCCAGGAGTGATCATGGTGATTGGAAAAATATGGTTAGAGGCTGGTCAATTAAAATTACAAGGCAGGGAAGCTTGTGCATGATTGTATGTCATATATATTCACTATCCATAAACATTATCTGTGTGTGTGTGTGTGTGCATGTCCATGCATGTGTTGGTGATGTTTACACTAACTGTGTAAGTTTACATTGGCATAAATTTACTTGGAACTGACTGATTTGAACTTGTTTAAATTCAGTTGGATATCAGGACAAAGCTGTGTATAAGAGATAGTTTATACCGCTTGGCTAGGAGTGCTGAACAAAGACATAATTTTGGAAACTCAAATTGTAGCTGCAAAGATGATGCTGATAAAAATGGAGTGTTGAAGACTGAAGAATTAAATAAGTATGCCCAAGCACACTTGCACAGCATGCTCTGTATATCTTTTATTTTTTTGCCCATTAGATATAGATGATATTATTAAAAGAGATCTTGTTGTTCTTTTTTATCACATTCAGTATCAATTTTAGAATCTTCTCATCCAAGTGTAATGTTCGACCATATCTCTTGCTGATCTGGATTGATGATTATCGTGCTATTCTGTGTATTCAGACTTTTTTGACTTCCTTTTTTTTGTCATTGTGAATGATTTTTGTCTTTCATTTGGATTAATGCATAGCATCTTGATTATATGGATGGGGCTATACTTCTATATAGTCTAGAATGACTCTTCCTGTTGTTATTAATATAATCTTTCCATACCTTTCTCAAAAAAAATAATAAAAATAAAAAAAAAACTATTCTATTGATGCAATGAAGAAACCATTCTGAAATTACTCAATTTAAGTGAATACATATAGATAAAAAGGTATAAATGGACATATACATAATACATGCACAGGTATTATGCATTCTGAAATTACTCAATTTCAGAATGAAGAAACCAATCTGAAATTACTCAATTTGTGCATTCTGCATGTTACCAATTTTAAAGAATATAGCCACCTGAAAATTTTAAACTTTCTAAGTCACATCCMGATGTATATTTTAGAATTAAAACATGCCCATCAGCTCATGTACGTCCAAACCCTTATCTTGCGGGTTTCAACTTGTGTGTCATGTAATTACTGGAAGTTCCCAAATTCCATATATCAGAGCTAACTTTATAGTCATCAACCTCATCAGTGTTATGAAACATAGTATGCTAGTTTTTCTTCTTTTCATAGTATTAATCACCTCCATGCTCCTTGTCAAAATTTCAACATCCCATGGTCTGGATCACTCTTTACTCTCATGTGCTGCTTTTTACATGCATCCATCCAGATCATGGTTTAAAATTCTTCTTAAGCATTTGACCATTTGTGAAYACTGAAATTTCGTAAWTTTCTTTTAGAAATTTGGAAAGTCTAGGGAAATTGGGAAAAGATTAAAATATTAGAAAATATAGAATTAATTTGTGACTTCAAAAATGTTAAAAGAGGTATAATGACACACTAAAAAACTTAAAAAGCAACAACCCATTATGTACAATAAGTGATAAAATATTAGATTTCTTAAATAGGAATAATGAGAACATCTGGTTTAATATCATAAAATGTGACTGGCAGCAATGGATCAATTCAGTAATGTTTCCTATCACGGTTATTTTGATCCCGCCACTTTGTCTTTGCACAAGGGAGTCGTAATTGCCATGCACTTTTTGTATAGTGTCTCAGTGTACATGAATATAATATGATTTGAATGAATGAATGAATCTACCTTACCTTTTCCTAATAAAAAGCCATRAAATGTGACTATGCTTGGAACTAATTATAACTCTTATATCCCAATTCCTTTTCTTTGGCATTCTTTAAAATATGTCCATCTTGACTTGAATTATGTGGCCATACTGCCATAGTAAAATATTAACTATTATGTGATTATTATATTACTATATGATTATTATAATCTAACAACAAGGGACTGGGTTAAGTGGTTGATGCCGACCTAAAATTTGTAGGATGCTTGGCATGCTTGTAAATAATTATTCCTTTGTTCAGTCAATAATAGTTCTAACAATTACCAATAAAAAATGTTTCTTAAATTAATTATTTAATTATTTTTAAAAGAACTTTATATCTGAAGAACTATTGAATATTGATTCAAAGGTCTAGACCTTTTACTTATTGTATACAAATATGTGGCATGTGTATTTTCTATGTCTTACAACTATTCCCAATTGATTTTTGATCAAACCTAGTGATGTTTCTCCAATATTTTGTCTAGAGTTGAAATATTTATACATAACAAATGAGAACTTTCCCTGCTGATCAAAAAAAARAAAAAAAGAAAAAGAAAAAGGAGAACTTTCCCTCCATGTCAAAAAAAATTTGAATATTGGGGAATATCAAGGGGTGTTTAGAATTTCTTGATTCCATGTTATTGTCTTGCCCCTTGTGAGGCTCAAAAATGTTGATATTTTGTGGAAACATCACCGTGAACCATAGCCTAGAATATGGTTGAAAAATCCTTTCCTACTACTTGGCACCATAATTGGACACCACCATGGCATGTAGCTCTTGAGAAAAGCTTTGATTAACCTTTGCTCAGTTGTCATGGTACTAACACAGTGATGCAATTTGCTGTTTTAGAGGAATGCCTTAGCATGAGATAGAAATGGTTGATCAGGTATCAGATTCATGAGAATATAATGGCAAGTCTTGGGTTAAGGTCAACATTTTTTTGTTGACCTGAAATTCAATACATACCTGAAGATTTACATTCACGTGTTCTTTGTATCTCAAGCTTTGTAGCCAGCCCTTACAAACTTCAAAATCTCAACTTAAAGGTCAACTCCTTAAACACTAAAACAAGAGTCAATCTTTTATGTTTTATCAAATTTACTTTTTTTTCTTTTTACAACACACTTTACAGCTTGTGCAAGACTCATCCCAAGTCATGAGTCATTTAAGCTAATGTTGTGRCTTGGCTGCTGAGAATCCTACACAAAAGTATTCAACAGCATGGCTTGATTCCTGAGGCTTGAGAGTTGTATCAACTTGGATGAGACTCTTAGTTGGCTTCTAAGTTGACATGCTAAGGTTATGGTTGGATGGCTGAAATTGAAGATCCAACTCACTTATGACCTTTTAACTTTTAATGGCGTGCTATTTTTCTAGAAACCCTTTGATGGAGTTATGGATTTGCAATTTACATCATTCCTTAACTTACAGCATCTATGCTGATACCGAAACATAACTTTCTGCTTTTTACTATCTAGTTCAGAGGTGTACTCATTACATTTCATACTCTTATCATAATGTTTTGTTCTTCTTACCATGACTTCTATTATGAATTATGCATATAGGTGATTTAGGCTTAGTTGTTGAGGAGCATCAACTGCAGAATACTGCAACCAAGTCTCATTTTATTTTGTTTTTGATCAGCAACGGAAATTTACTTTCATTAAGAGAGTTTTAAAACATTACATACAAGTCTAGGACTTGATCCACATCCCATTCTTTTGTTTTCAACCCATTTTAATTCTGCCCAGAAAAATTGATCACTATAAACCCCTTGTTTCGCTAGGACATCAGCCAACCCGATTGCCATTCTCCTCACCCATCCGAACGTAGCTTCCACTTCAATTGTTAAGCTTCTTATCTCCCTAATAGTTTGCCTATACATCCAGGCACCCGGAATGTTGCAACTCATCCACGATAAAACTAGATTTGGGTCTCCTTTGACTTCCACCTGTTTCATTCCCTTATCTTTCACAGTCGTGGGTTGGACACCACTTCCCATGATCTGAGAATGTCATCCACCGAGAAAGCTTTAAAGTTTTCCATTGTTTTTGCCCAATGTGATACCTTTGGCTTTATACCATTTATTAAATCTTCTTCTGTGCTATACTTCTCCTTGCATATCTGTGCACTCCTTTTTCCCAAATAATCCATACAATAGCTGTTCTATTGTCCTCCACAATATTCTTCCTCTCTTTTTTGGTAATCTCATGAATCCAGGGCTGAAAAGGCTGGTCACATCTCGAGGAGGTTCCCACCTACAACCTAAAAGAGAGCAAAAATTCCTCCAAACACAATTCACAAAAGGACAAGGGATTAGTAAATGGAAGACCACTTGCTTTGCAAAGAATGCATCCATGAAGTGAAAGGGAAACTTCCTAGCAGAAAACCTTTATTTTTAGGTGGGACCGGTCTACTCCAAATTTCTTTCCTAGGGTAAGTTACTCCTCCAGAGGATTGTGAAGTTTAAGGCATTGAAGAAAAAGCACAAGAAATCAAAGGAAGCAGTCCAAATTCCACTATTTGTTGGGTTAGTTTTTGGATGAGAGAAGAAAAGAGAAAAGAAGACGACGAAGAGGGTTGAGAGAAATGGGTGGCAACAGTTAGCAGATGTTCTGGCCACGGGTGTCCCCAAGGCAAAGTTACAACATTGTGTAAGCAAGCTGGGCATGATCAATATCTATGCTTAGCTTGAGGGGTAGTGTAGAGATAATGGACCGAATGGGTCTTAGTTTCTTTGTTTTTCTTTAAGTTATGTTTACGACTTGTGTTAGTAGGTAGTGGGCCTTAGTTGTGGGCTTGTTTTCTCTCTCTCTCTCTCTCTTTTTACTGCTGTCTTTAGTGATGGACGCCCTACTAAGGGCACTCATGTAATTATCCATATTTTTTACATCAAAAGAATAAAAGAGATCATTGGGGGCTGAAGAGAGGTTTTGAACTACTCTCTGTTCTTCTTCCTTTTCTTCCATCTTCTTCCTCCATCACTTCTCTCTCTTCAATTTCCTTATTTTCTCCTGTTTCTTTTCTTTTAATTCAGATTATTGCAGATGTGATTTACAACTTAATCTTATTATATATAGTAGGGCTTTAAGATAAGAGTACAAAGATATATCTGCCCCTGATTGGTAGGCAGAAAAAACATATTAGTACAATAGAGGGGCCAGGCCCATTAAGCTTGAGAGCGAAAGAAACATAAAGAAGGATCACATAACATAAATAAAAGAAGGTCCAAACCTACAATGCTAGGCCTCACAACATGTTGTACCAGGGTCCAAGAAAACAGAGCTGAGCAAAGATAACAAGGTAGCGAAAGAGTCACATTCCCAATCCCTGAGATCCCTTTTTAAGCCAAAAACCTAGTTTAATTCAAAAGAGAATGAACAGAACTATGGGCTCTTTCTGATACTGGGAGAGGGAGTACAACAAAGGAAACTGCTCAATTAGAGGAGAGTTACCCAACCACAAATCCTCCCAAAACAGGGCTCTATTTCCACAAGCAGCATCTAATCTAACGAAGTTCAAGAAAGAGGGAAGAGTTAGCCGAATGGATTCCACGGGGACAAAGGAGACAAGAAAGCAGAAGCTTTTGCATGCCAGCTGTTGTCCATAAGCTGTTCAAAAATTGTCCTTACAGCTCCTTCTTTGAGTACGTCACTTTTTGTATGAGTTATAAATAGTGGTTTTTGGGGATGTATAAAGTTTTTTGCTGTCCTGCTCGGTGCCTTGTTAGGCAAGTCTGTAATCTCTCTCAGTTGTTTTAATGAAATTCTTTACCTTTTCTGAGAAAAAAAAAGATGCCCATTACCATATATGCTGCAATAACCTTATGCCACAAACTATCCCTCTCCAAAGGGAATCCCCACAGCCACTTCCCAAGTAGGACAGTATTCCTAAGTAGTATGTTCCTTATGCCCAGGCCTCCCTGCTCTTTAGGCTTTCTAAACTCCTCCCACTTCACCCTATGGTCCCTCCCTTTTATCCTCTCTCAATTCCCAGAGGAAGTTTCTCATATGCAAACTCCTAAATTTGTGTAACTAGGAATCTTCTTAAGAAAAGCTGGAAAATAGATATGCTTTGATCATCATCATCTAAGCCTTGTCCCAAATATATGGGGTCAGTTACATGAATAAAGGTAAGTGTGTTGCTGAAGGGTAAACATGAGAAAGATCTTTGTAGCAATCTATTGATTCCATATGGAAGTCTAAAATTTATTAGGCTTTCTTCACTAAACTTTACTATTTGAATAGGAAAAACCTTACTACAAGGAAAAGTATTCAGTAGATGTATGATGCAATTTAATGCTTTAATATGTTTCTTTACTTGATGCAATTTAATTTATTGTATGATGCAATTTAATGCTTTAATAAGAAGAGGAAAAKTTGGACGAGAACGAGTGAAGAGGAATAGGACAGTGGGGGAGGGGGGGGAGGGGAAGAGGGATGAAGATTCTCAGTTGGAATGTGAGAGGTTTGAGGGATGGAAAAGATGGAAATGGTAAGAAATCTAATTAGAAACACCAAAACAGATGTGGTATTGTTGGAGGAAACAAAACTGGAAAGTTTTGACTTGAAATTGAAACTGGATATTTGGGGAGAGGAGGGTGCGGAATGGGTGGACCTACAAGCTTTGGGATTGTCAGGAGGGGTTGTGATAATTTGGAGTTCAGAAGTCTCCAAAGTTGATTTATTGGAAAATTTCGGGAATTCACTTGTGTTACAGCCTTGTAACGTAGATGCATTCTCAGTTTAAAATCCCGGACATGTAATTGAAGTATGTACTAGATGTTGTTGGTGTGTCATCTAGACAACCAATGTGATAGGATGTAATCTTTTCTTTTAATAAATTTTCTTTCTTCTTGATTCTTCAAAAAAAAAAAATGAAACCAGTTTTTCAAATTGAGAATGACAGTTTAGCTAAGATATTGTCTTGTTTTCAGAACAATACTCTTGAGTGTATTGAATTGAGTTAGCCCTTCTGCAGGTGCACACAATTTATGGATATGGAAACTGAGACAAATCCGATAGATCGGTCTATAGCACACTTACTTTTCCACAGGCCTTCTGATCCATCTACAAGTGTTTCTAATGATGTCTTGTCCCATGAATCTCATGCCAGAGTATGTTTTCATGCATTTGATTCTAATTTAATTTAAATTGCACACCCGTTCTACTAATCCTGATCTTGTAATTTCAATGAACAGATTCAGAGTTCTATTACTAGTCAGCCTGAGAAACCAGTTTGTCAAGGAAAGGTAGCTGATGGAGCACATACAAAGAGGCAGAACTGATCAGTAGTAAGAAATTGTGGCTTCCAGCTACACTGCAATGAAAATTGTGTTGTGTGCCTGAAAATGCTGTCTTTCGTCATGTATACATATTTATTTAAGAGACCACTGGATGTATCAGGTTTAGTGCTGTTATCTGGATATGTTGCCTATGTGATACAGTCTTAAAGCCAATGTTTACCATATATTCTTGGTTGTAATGGTGCACATATTAAGTTGTTTCTCCATTTACTGTCTCTTATATTTATTTATGTTAACTGTAACTCAGTAGAAAGCATGAGACTTGAAGAGAAGTCAAATACTTGACTGAAGATGACATTCAACCCACATTGAAATTGATCTATTAAACATCAATCACCTCCACATAGCAATAGAAATTTATGAGGGATTATAGGGGGAAAGATATCAAGTTGTATATCTTTAGGGTTTCTCTTAGTATCAACCTTAGATGTTCCTTAATCTTCCCTATATGAAGTTGCATTCATACCACTCAAGATTAAGAGAAAACTTCCAAAGCTTCAGTCACCTGTTCATTCCAAAAGTAAGACAAGAGAACATTTTTTTTTTTTGATAAGCAATAGTAGATCATAATGTAGGTTATGWTTGAAAAAAATCTATCATCAATCTACCTCAGTTAAGGCACAAAACATAGTGGTGACAGTAAGTCTTCAGGGTCTCATTTAGTGAATTGATCAAGTCAGAATTGGGGAGGGAATTCAAGAAAGGGGAGGAGGGCAGCATTACTATCCTTATCCACTCAAAAGAAGAGGGATCAGATAGATGAAGAGAGATAATGGGAGGCCCAATCAGATATCCATATTAGGAGGTTTTCAGGTTCCATGGGATTAGAGGTTTTAGATTCTAAAGAGATGGTCTACTCTAGCCTCTAGGAAAAAAGAACAGGAAAAGAAAAGAAGGAAAAAAAGGAGTGAAGTAGAAAATAGAAAGGTTGAAATGTGACATTGATTATAGTAAACGCAATAGAAGGAGAGGAAGAAGGGGGGGAAATAGGAAGAATAGGAAGGGATAGCACATGGTTGCATGAAGGAAAATACAGCTTGCAGTAMCGTAGCAGCACTGTTCTCGGGGTTACTGTAGCAGGTTGTAGTCAGGTGGTCTTTTATTATTTCTATCTTCTATTAGGATGGCATTTGAAGATTGAGGCCTACACAAATGCAGATTGGGCAGGGTCAATGGACAACAAAAGATCTACTTTTGGCTATTGTGCCTTAGTTGGGGGCAATGTGATATGTTTGAGGAGTAAGAAGCAATTGGTTGTTGCTCGCTTTAGTGCAAAGGCAGAATATAGGGCAATGGCTCATGGGGCGTCAGAGTTGCTATGGTTGAAGATCCTGTTAACAAAAATGGGAATTCCAACAGAAAATCGTATGAGACTTTACTGTGACAATCAAACAGCTAAAAACATTGCTCATAATCCTATTCAACATGATCATACAAAACATATTAAAGTGGATAGGCATTTCATCAGAGAAAAATTAATAGTGGAGAAATTTGCTTGCCCTTTTGTAAGATCTGAGGATCAACTTGCTGATTGCTTTACTAAAGGAGGTCACAAGCCAAAGTTCGGTAGTAACCTAAGCAAGTTGGGCATGATAGATATCTATGGTTGGCTTGAGGGGGAGTGTTGAGAATATGCAATATGGTGAAAAGGGCCAAGGGCTTTTTTTGGGTGTTTTCATTTCGTTTTTGTATTTGGGTGCCCAAGTAAAGACAAACTTGTACTTTCAGCAACATTATAAACTTGTAGTCTCTAGAGTGAACAGTAATAACTCGAGGCACACCTTTGTAACATTTCTTTTTCTTCTCTTCCCCTTCTTCTCCCTTCTCCTCCCATCTCTTCTTCTTCCTTTGTTTTTGGGCTTCACCTTAAACAACTAGATGATTTAGGAAGTTTGTGGGTTGGAAATCAGCTAACTTTAAACTCTCTCCTGGAATGTGAACTAAAAAGGAATAATTTAAGGAACTAGTCTAGTGATGGATTTTTCTTAATGAAAACTTACATGAAGCTTTAGAATATTAGGTCGGAGGTGGTGACCAAATTTTGTTGAATTTCAAGCTGTTTAGCACAAATATATGAACAATTGAAAATATTTTGCACGTTTTGATGTTTGATCCTTTTTAATTTTCTATGACTAATAATAGATTTCTTGATGCTGCCTTAATAATCTACTTGAGTACTACTTTGTATGGAAATTTCCCATACTGTGTATATTATGTTGCGTTGATGTTTTGTTCACTTTATTAATATTCTATTAATGTTATTCTTGTTTGTTTTTGAACTTGTGTAGGGTTCCTGAGCATCATTTTTCGACTCTATATCACAGACAGATAGCCAGGACTCAGGATTTACTGTTGAGTGATGGCCAACCAAAAGGTTACCTAGGCTGAACGCATGATTAAATGAACTTATAACCATCTGAGTTGTAGATTATTCTTTTGGAGCTTTAAGATACATCCTTCTTCATTTTTAATATACAGTGATGTGCGAAGTTGTGATTGCCAGTTATATTTATTTTTATCCATGTAATACTCTCAGGTGGGCCTCCTATAAATCCCTAGTTTTTTTTTTTGTGTGTGTACTTTGTTTTCTTTTATTTTGCTAAACGATTGGGCTACACAACGTGGGATAGCTCTTGAAGTAGAGCATCTTTAGAAAGGGTTCGACTATGATATCAGAAAGTTAATACCATAAAATTTTACAGCCATTCAACCAGTATCATAAAAGAGGTGACCAAACAGGTGTTATTCGTCAAAATTCACAGTGGAGCTTTGTTGGTCAAAGCTATTCTGATAACATGTCTTTCCTGCATTAGATTTTACCCTAGAGAAATTGTGATAAAGAATGGTCCTTGTTTTTGGTAACGAAGAATGGGCCTTCAGTTCTATTTCCATATACTAGTTTTGAACTTGTTTATTTTTCTTCTTRGGCAAATCTATGATGCTGGAAAGGTATGATATCGCAAGAGCTTTCACCAATCAAAGACCCGTGAATTTGATAGAATACCGCCTGATTGGTTATTACTTTTTCTGGTCCCGATATCATACCTGGACCCTTTTCCTTGGTATAGTATTAATTTATAAGACCCATACATTTTTTTTTATTTGTTCACCTGGGCAAAATGTATGATAAAATTGGGGGTTGAAAGGCGTTGAAACATCATAAACCTGGATAAACAGAAAGTACTGGTACATGCAGTACTAAATTGCTAATAAAATTCAACATGATTCTAACTGCCATATAGATGGATTTGCCCTTCCTAGGGGTGCAAGTTGGCGGGTTGGGCTGGGTTTATTGTCAATTTAGGCCTGACCCTAAAATTTGGGTTTAAGGTCTGACTCCGAGGTCAAGTCCAATTTTCCTAACTTGAACCCAGYCCGTACAGTAATTATGTTTATATAGGTAAATATGTAAGCAAAAATTACATATCAACATATGTATGAATGTGTATAGCTGGATTATGCTTGGACTAGGCCTGAAAAGTAAAAATTACATNATGTATGAATGTGTATAGCTGGATTATGCTTGGACTAGGCCTGAAAAGTAAAAAGAAAGCTGGACTTTTTGGGCCCGAGCCCAGCTCGTATAAAAATTTCCGGCCCAAATTGCACCCCTAGTCCTTTGCTTCCTAACAAACACGCAAATGCCACATCACCTACCATCTGTTACTCTGTTCCATCCTTTTCGTTGAAATATCATTTGTCTCGTGTCCACAAGACCACAGCTATCTCTTCAGCCAGTCCTATCTGCTATGGAACATGAGAATTCACATCTGCACCCTACAGAGGGCGCCTTACAAGTGCCCCACAACACATCCTAACCGTGTATTGGGATCATCCATACTTGCCATTGGGATATGTATTGGGAACATCACCCATACTTGCTATTGGGAGATGTTTCTAATACACAGCTGGGATGTACTATGGGGCACTTGTGGGTCACAGATGTGAATTTGGAATGTGAAACACTTGCCCTTTTTGCAGAAATATCTATGAAGCCAGAAGGATATGATATGGTACCGGAATAAGAACTGACTAATTAGAAACATTGTGAATTTGATGAATACTAGTTGATTGATTATCATATTCAAGATACCCTTGATATATTATCATATTTTTTGGGTAAAATACTTTGACTTGAACATACATGTGACATCATGCGACATATAAATTTTTTATTACCCTGTTAGTCTACGACTCTGTCTTGTTTTAATGGCTAGTAATGTGAAATTGACCCCCACCTGTTTGTTTAAATATCTAAAGGATCAATTACTTATACCTACGTTTTCATTAAATTGCTAATATTTAAAGAGTTAATTACTTAATGGTTGATGTTTGTATCGCTTCCATTTATGTCTATTTGAAAAAGGGTGTCAATTCAGTGCCATATAGGCATTTATACCAAAATGCTATTTGACAGGATTGTTTATTAAATAAATGTTTATCTTGGTTTATGTGTGAACCAATAGTTGAGTGAATGGAAACCATACCAAACACCCTCTAAATATACCCTGTGCTTTTACTAAACTATTTAAATATATTTTATATTTTACAAAACTACTTAAATGTACCTTATTAAAGAGTTTAGTGTAAAGATTGACAGAAAATAGTTGAAGGATAAAAATGCCCTTAATTATTATTTAAATTTTCAAAAACATGCACTTGATTCTCCTCTTCCGACAAAAATATTATGCAGCAACCCAAATTAAGATATAAAGCTTGCATCCCGCGAAAATATTATGCAAGAATTGAAATTAAATCTTAATGAATTGTGTAATCGCAGTGAAGTGTGGCTGCGGTTTAGGCGTTGAATCAGGACTCAGGACAGGAACTTCGTTTGGGCTTCGGTCACATTTGCGAATAGGTTGGACACGGAATCTCTCATCTGTGGAGGCTTTGCTTAACACTCTAAAGTTTGAGGGACTACACGGCAATTAATCTTGCTGAAGCATGGTTGCTTGGAAAGTCCACAATTAAAGTAATAAAATCATCATTATTAAGGATAGAGGGTGAGGTGGAGTATTGTCACACATATTGTGAAGGTAACATTGCTGCTGATTGGCTAGCTAACTGTGCTCACTCAAATGATGTATCTACTTCTGTCATTTCTAGAGTTTTAAGTCTTATTTCTTGTTCTGATTTTGGGAACATGCTACCCTGCATTGTGTAGCCCCTCTTCTAAATGCTCACGCATAATTGGCTTCTTGTTCCTGGGTGTCGGTTCACTTACTAGGTAGAGAGTAATGTTATACATACTTTGTTTAAATTAGAGATGACAACGAGATGGGTTTGGGGAGGATTTTATAAATTTTAGATCTTATCCGCCTCCTTAAACCACCCAATCCATACCTGCCTCAAAACCCGTAGTGGGTTGGATTTTGGGAATCCAAACCCTTTCTGTATATGAAAATGCAAAACCCTCCATGACCTTACCCTCCCCGTATTCAAGGGTAGGGGTGGATTGGGTTTAGAACCCGCATCTAATTTTCTATTATTTTTTGTTATATATAAGCAATAAATAAGTAAAACAACAAAATTTTCAATTATTTGATTAAGACATATAAAAAATACATAAACTATCAAGTATCCTTCACATGAAATTCAAAATATTATTAAATTCAACACCTAGTACATAAAGTTTATATGCTTTCCAATAATATGCGGGTTAGATATAGCCTAATACCATAACCTACCTCTACCACCATACGGGTTATGGAATCCTAAAAGCCGACCCCACCCCAAAACCTGTCTTTCAAGAAAAAGACCCACCCCATTAGGGAGAGTAGGGCAGGTACCCATTAGGTAGGATAGAAATTGCCATCCTTAGTCCAAACCTTTTGATTCTATTCTTTGATTTTTTGTCTTGGGAGTCGTATATGTGCAATAGTTATTCAATGGCCACAAAAAGGTTGATACAAATGGTGAAGAAAAAAAAAAGAAGAATTCAAAATAGATAATCATCAAAATTCAGAAAGCCAAGTATGGCTTCTATCGAGGCAGAGTCCATGTGCTCACCATTCGCGCAGCATGAGGACGTGCTATGCATTCTTTTCCTCGTGTGCATGCTTGAGACGTGCGAAATGGATTAAACACCATTTGCTTCTTCTATTCATTCCATTCCACTTCCTGCTCCTCTTTTGCTAGACACACCGAATCAAACCTTGTTTGCTCTCACTCTCTCCCTCTTGAACCGGCGGCGACCAACAATCATAACCGGGGTGACCGGAGAAAAACTCCAGGTATTCATTTTTTTCTTCCCTTAACATTGAATCTTTGCCTCAAAAAACCTGGCCCTAATCGGTTTGAATGCAGTCATATTTACTATCTCGGCATCATTGATGGCTATTAGAGCAGCTTTGGCTAATATCTAGATGTTGATACTAGACCACAGAATTTAACATGCACCTAGTGGATTGCTTAAACAATGTTTGGATGAGACAAAATTATTCCTTTTAATAATGGATTTTTATGGCTAAAACAGTTATTATTTTATTTATTTGGAAAATAAAAGAACATGGGTAAATGTATTTATTGGATAAGTGTTTTCTAGGAAACACTTACCCAGATAAATTATTTCCCCAAAAGCAAACGGGCCTTTAAAGTTTATGGTTTCTTGAATGGGTGGCCTCTATTCTTTGTTTGCGTGGTTACAACTGAACATGGGAAGAAAAGAGATACAATGACAGAAGAAGAAGAAGAGAGAGAGAGAGAGGGTGCAAAGGTTAGAATTTTAATAAAATATTAAGGAAAAATATATGATGCAGACATGATACAAAAAGCTTTGACCAATCAAAACCCCCCATGAATTTTGATAAAAACCCACCTAAATGGTTGCCACTGTTATGATGCAGGTTGATTGGTTATAAGTTTTTTTGGTATCATATATATTTTGCATCATAGTTGAACTCAAATATTATAAGAAACATGATACTACATTCTAAGGGCCCAAACAATGGCCTATTGTGTCAAGTGGAGCCATCTAATAATAAGGCATGATTAAGTAGTTTTCAAAAGCACGATGCATATCTAAGTAGCTTAGTGAAATTATAGTGTGTATTTAAGTAATTAACCCACATCAAAGAAAACCCACCCCCCTATTTCAAGGTAGAAGACAACCTTGCCCAAAGGGTTTGGAGTTATGATTTGTGAACTCTCTTTCTCTCTTGCTCACTTGCTAAAATTGTAGCTAATGCTCTTTGGTTCTGGTGAAATGTGAAAACAATATAGCAAAGGTCTCAAGTTTTTCAAAATATGCCCTGATTTTTCATACCATCTACAAACCAGAGAAATAACATTTCTATCTCAAGATCATGGATAAATTTCATGACACAGTCAAGAGCCAAATCTGATATGCCAAAGTTCATTATCCTATACAAGTTTTGATTCGACATGTATAAAATCTTACAAGATAAAGAACTTTCCAAGGAATAAAAAGGGTTAAACAAAATTAGGACCTCCCATTGAAAAATAGGAATCTTTGAATAGAAAATATCAAAAGAAGAAGAAAATTTTCAGTAAAAGGGTCTCTCTATCTATGAAAAGAGTTGATTTAACTAGCTGAAAAAGTAAAG